ACATCATAGCTGGAATTCTCAAAGAAATAACACAAATGGCAACAAACTTTATAGCTATGCTCTTACGAATGACCTTAGAATTTTTGGACCAACGGAACCTACCAGGTATCATCATACAGGCAGCTCGGATGTTCTCGACATTGTTATTACAAAAAATATCCAGCAAATCCCTTTCCTACAGGTGATTAATCAATTAACCTCTGACCATCTCCCTGTTAAATTTACTTACCATGGCTTTGAGAAGACCTTGCCTTTAAAGAAAATTATAAACTGGCAGAAATTCAATAATTCTCTGGAACAATTACCTGCACACCCGGCTCTTGCCGATATTGTAGACATTGAGTACAATATCACTAAGATCAATAGTAAAATTAAGAAAGCCCTTGATGATTCCACCAAATTCAAAGATTATAAGAAAGACAAGCTCCCCGACCACATCATTGAGAAAATAAAAGACAAAAACCGCACAGCAAAAATCTGGCGAAGAACAGGCGATCCCACTGTTAAAAGAAATCTGAACAGAAAAATTAGGAACATCAAGACCCTCCTCCTAGAGTACAGATCAAATTGTTGGGACGATTTCTTAGACTCCATGGATTTCTCTCCGAATACAGTCTGGCGTATTGGAAATTCCTTAAGGAATACTAATAACAGAAATATTGGTCCTCTCCACACCAGTAGTGGAATTGCTTATTCTGAACATGACATGGCTGAAGCCCTTGCGCAGCATCTAGAAAAGACTTTCACCAATCATGCCTCTAATAATGATGAGACAGATGAAGAAGATGAGACAGATGAAGAAGTCGATAATTTCATTAACCACCTAGCTGACAGAAATTGTAATAATCACTTCAACCCAACTTCTCCAACAGAAATAAGTAATATAATTAGCAACTTAAAGTCCAGGAAAGCTCCCGGCTACGATAGCATCACCAATACGGTTCTCAAAGCTCTCCCAAGAACCTACATAGTCCTCATTACAAACATAGTCAATGCTTGTATGAGGCTCAATTACTTTCCGCAACAGTGGAAGCACGCGCAGATAATTACGTTTGTCAAGCCGGGGAAAAACCCAAAGGACTTAAACTCCTACCGTCCGATCAGCCTTCTCCCCAGTTTGGGAAAGGTATTTGAGCGTGTGCTCCAAAAGAGATTAACTCAACATCTAGAGGATAAGAAAATTATATGTAAAGAGCAGTTTGGTTTTAGAGCCGGTCATAGTACCGTGCACCAACTACTGAACGTTACAGAATTTATTGCAGACTCCTTCGCAAAAAAGAACACAATCGCCAGCTGCTTTCTAGATCCTAGAAAAAGCATTTGACAAGGTGTGGCATGAGGGTCTCCTCTACAAGCTGCACCTTGTTCATCTGCCCATCAGTTTTATTAAGCTCATGAAAAGCTATCTTAAAAACAGGACCTTTCTGGTAAAAATTAATGACTCTCTCTTCAAGAAAAAAAATTAAAAGCGGAGTGGCTCAAGGAAGCGTTCTGGGACCGCTTCTGTTTAATATCTACACGAATGATATGCCGGTTCCTTTGAATGCAAAAGTAGTGAAATATGCCGACGACACAGCAATTTTAACCAAGTCGCTAAAACCTCAGCTCGCTGTAGATAAACTTGAAAGCGCAGTAAATATCATAGCACACTATTATGATTCATGGAAATTAAAAGTAAATCCGTCAAAGAGCCAAATTCTCCTTTTCAGACGTCATCGGAAGTTCACTCCTGTGAATGTAAATATAAAAAAATTAATCAAGCCCTAGCAATTGTTTCAAGTACCAAGTATCTAGGAGTGGTCTTCGACTCACAGCTGTTATTCAAAGAACACACGGAGTATGCCTTGCGCAAAGCCACCGCTGCTAAAATGTCTCTTTACCCTTTAATAAGAAGAAATGCTAAATTAAATATCAGTCTCAAGAAGAAGATCTATACCAGCTTAATAAGACCCACCCTACTTTATGCAGTGCCTATCTGGGCCACTGTGTACAAGACTTATAGACACAAACTACAGGTCTTTCAGAACAAAATACTCAGACAAATTGTTGACTCCCCATGGTTCGTACGTAACCTGCAGATACATAAAGAACTAAAAATAAGACCCATAGCTGATCAAATTCTCACCACGAGCCACAATTTCTATGCTAAAATAGAACTTTCTCAATACGAACATATCCGTGAATCTGATAAATTATGATCCTACTATAGAAATTGCAGCAAAGCGCCCAAGAGGCATCTTCCATAACAGCAAATGGTGAAATGTGTATATATTGTACATAGTACTATTATCTTTATTTTATCTTCATTGTGTCATTTTACCAGTGTCTTTGAAACTTTATAGACTTATGGACATGATCCGTGTACTTCTGGAGTCTTCAAAGCTCTGATTATTTATTGCTAGTGTAAAATGTTTTTCACCATTTGCCACTTCGCTCAAATACCGCCGTCCCTATATGTACATAGTGTATAGTTTCAGTAACTCATGTGCCTCAGTGTTGTACAAGAACTTTAGTGTTTAATTTCTCAGACCAAGACTTCACTGAATTGTGATATCTACTATTTCAAGATGCATTGGCTGTGGACAGTTCACGGGAGGGTGACCCCACGTGACTACCACTGTCCAATCTGTGTTTTACAGCAAGGATGAATTTGAATATTTTGTTTAGCTAATCTGTTGCACTTAGTTGTGCCATTTGTCTTCATTTAGATCGCGATATTAGTTTAATTATTCCAATCTGGATAACCTGTTTCAAAACTTGATAATTATTAATATATCCAATATTTCTCATTGCACGCGTAAGCTGCTTTGCTCGGAGTCTGAACTTGGGTGGGTGACCACCCACGTGACAGGCTCCTGCCAATCATCTCCCTCCACTCCACCTACATTTCACAAAATTTGACAAGTTTCGCCTAGTTGGCACGGTAATGCATTTCAACAACAATTGAAGACAACCCGGTCGTTTTGCCCTTTCAGTAGTTTTGAGTCCTGGTATTAATATCAAAATGTGCGTGAAATCTCCGCCCTTGGATACATCGTTAAGTGTGTGTGAGTGATATTTCTCCAGATTTTTGTGTTTTAGTGCTTCTAACAAAGAAAATAGGCAGTCGCAATTTACCGTGTTTTTGTTCACCACTTCTGCCGCTACAGCAACGGAAAAGGTCCCGCCTAGCTACCACGTGGTTCCCCTGGTAGGCCTAGGAAATCGGCCAAAATATTCCATGTCCAGAAATTAGTTTTTAATTTTCAAAATATATGTATATCTTCGTATCCATTGCAACCAGGAATTTCAAGAACTGGTATTTTTTCAAAATTTTTAATTTTTTACATCCATTTACTTTTATTTGCAATATCTTAATTTACTAAATTAAGCCTAACCATTTCTTGTTCTCGCTGAAAATATTGACCCAAATAAACATACTCAGGATTTTTTTCTAAATTCTGTATATTAATATTGGAGCTCCATAGTGTTCGTCCTTCCTGTTAAGAAGCTTAGTTACATAGTTTTAATTCCATCGTTTTCATCTTCAGTTTCGACATTATAGCTCTCGTTCGTCGAAATAACTTTTCGATAACTTTGAACACTACTCGACAAACTCTAAAAAATTTAGTTTTAAAGCTCTAATTGCGTGCTTTTGATGTGTTTTACATGAGAACTGATCTTTATGCACTCCTGTATTTTACCTTTTAATTACTTGCAATGTTTATTTAATCTTTAATTACTGTATTAATTGCTGTATTTTTATGTTTTCTATTTGCACTTAAAAATCAACCAGTTTGATTACTTGTATTTTTATGTTTCTACTTGCACTTAAAAATCAGTCAGTTTGATTGTATTTAGAGAATTTTTAGTCATAGTTCATCTGTTAATTATGTTTAGTATCTTACTTATTCTACTACATGTTTTAATTACTGTAATTCTTGTTACTGGGTGTGAAAGGGACCTATTGTTACCAAATTTTATCATATATTGGTTGTTGTTATACAGCAATAAGCAATAGCTGTTTTACGTTAAGTATTTGATAAAGAGTTACACTACGAGTGTGATAATTTGCAACTCTGAGAAAGTTCTTGGACAGCATGTCCTGTCAATCAGTGATTCCAACTGACGGTGATTCCGCGCATTCACAAAGTGACGTAGACGCCACTAATTTATTGACCTCTGATTTGCCTTACGCAGAGAAAGTAGCTATTTTTGTGTGAGGATATTAGACAGGTAGCGGCCACCACCAGAAGTACTAAATATCTTTTACCTACAGTTCTTCGCACCAGACTATTAGACTCCCTGGTTGCGTTGCAGACGCTGGCCTTACAAGGTGCAGAATTAGCAGCCAAGCCAACAAAGATAGACACAGGTGTTAATACATCAACAGTGCTTTGCTGTGAATTGGCTCGCTCTCAGCCTCTACCGATAGCACAACAACCACCTGATTTACAGGCACCTCCACCTTTGCCAACAGCTTCTCGACCAACTTTTGCAGAGATTATAAAGAAACATAAGAATCCAAGTCTATACATACGTCCCAAAGCGGACGTCACAGAGACTGAGCTAAAGGCGCAGCTAAACGCTAAAGTACCACTTTCCAAGCTACAGGCAGGTATAGAAAGAATTTCTAAGCTCAACAAAGGAGGTTTCGAGGTTGTCTGTAAATCCACTGAAGATGTCGAAATCCTCGAACAACAGCTTCAACAACAAGATATCCCAGCGGAAGTCACCCGTCCATGGAAACGTAAGCCAAGATGCACCGTCCATGACTTGCCGGTATCCACACAATCAGAAGAAGTACTCGCAGAACTCAGCGGCGTCACTGGAATGCCTAGCACCACCTTTAAACCCTATTCCGATTACAAGAACGTCGTAAAGGCAAAATCAAGTGGGTTTTTGAGTGTGAGCCGACAGGCTTTGCAGCCATCATGCAGCACAGAAAAATCTTCCTCGGCTGGCAGGCTCATAGAGTCTCAGAGCATATTGGCCTCCAGCGATGTTTAGATGCCAGCAATATGGGCATAAGCAAGCTGACTGCAGAAGTAGAAAACAATATTGCTCCTACTGTGCAGAAGAACATGGGAACCGTGATTGCACAGCCCAACAACCACAGTGTATCAACTGTGGTGAGGCCAACTCCCGCTATGGCACCAAATACAGCTACTTCCATCCAGCCTATGCTCCAGAATGCCCACAATACCAGCGCAAGGTACAGTCAATCCGAGATAATACAGAATACTGCTAATCTTGATTTATCAAACGTCATAAATAAAGATACAATATGCAGTACATTATCTATCAAATGTATACAAATAAATTTACAGCGAGCAAAAGCAGCAGTTGCTCAACTAGCACAATTTGCAGCAGAATTTGGTGCTGACCTGATAATGGCTCAGGAACCTTACACGCGAGACGGAATTGCAGTGGGATTTCCATTGCAATGGACAATTTATCAACAAGGAAATGTAGAATATCCTCCTAGGGCCATTATTATTAACTGCAACAAAAAATGGTCTCCGGCTATCGTAGCAATTGAACGCGATAATGTTGCAATCATTATAGAAGCACAAGAAGCATCTTTACTGTTTATCTCACAATACTCTCCTCCTTCTGCAGATATTTTGGCTACTACACAGTTTCTTACAGATACCCTGCAAAAGATTAAAATTCCTCTTAAAATAATTACAGGCGATTATAATGCCCACAACACGGTTTGGGGGTATGCTTCTACGAATGACAAAGGAAGCCTTCTGGAGGATTTTCTGTCTGCTAATCATCTTGTTTTACATAACACAGCAGACGCGCCTCCGACATATGACAGAATCTACGCACAAGGCTGGCCTGATTTGACGGTCAGTTCAGCCTCAGCTGCGCCATTAATACAAAATTGGAGGGTTAATGATGAAATTAGCTTAAGCGACCATCGTTACATTACTTTCTCAATAGAGCAACCGACGACAATTAATATTATTCGTCGTTACAACCTACCTGGTAGGCGTAAAACGTGCTTTTACTACTAGAGTCAAGAATTTGATTGAAGGTATTGAACAACAGCTAACTCAAGCGAACTCTAGAGACGAATTGGAGAATTTCACAGTGACTCTACAAAAGTGTATACAGCAAGCGTGTGATGACATATTGCCACAGCGTAGTACTAAAAAACTGACTACGATCAATTGGTGGAGTAGTGAACTTCGTATTCAGCAGAGGCAATGTCGCGCATTACGTCGAAGGTTAAAGACTGAGCGTAGACTAAACCTTCCAGCTAACACCCTCCCAATTTATCAACAGGCAAGAGCGAAGTACAAACGTTCAATTTTGCAGGCTAAAATCAATTCATGGCATGCTTTTTGTACAGAGTCACAAAACATCTATGGTATTCATCATAAGATTATGACTGGAAAGCTGTTTAGGCCTGCCCAGTTACACATCCCTACACGAATAAATGTTACTCAGGACTACACAAGGGAAACATTAATACAGATCCTGGATTCCGTCTTCAGTCAGGATGACCCAACCGAAGATTCTAAGCAACAAGCAACTATACGTACAGAACAGATGTCTACCAACGTGCCACCGGATAGGGATATTACATTGAAAGAACTAAAACATATATTAGCGCATTTGCCAAAAAAAGAAAAAGGCCCCTGGCCCTGATGGCATTGATTATGCAATCGTTAAAACAGTCGTTTTGGCCAAGCCAACAATCTTTGTTAGCTTTTTCAATAAATTACTAGCTACGGGTACATTCCCGAAATCGTTTTTTTAAAATCGGACAAGTGGTGTTGTTTTTGAAAAAAGATCGCAATCCAGCGGAACCCACATCTTTCCGACCAATCTGTTTACTTCCGGCTCTTGGTAAACTGTTTGAAAAACTCCTTATGACCAGACTACGCTATTATCTACACGTTAATAATATCCTCAGTCCCAGGCAATATGGATTTAGGCCAGGAACTTCCACTTTACACGCTTTGCATGATATCAAAGAGGCTATCATGGACAAACAAATATCACGGTCTCCATACAGCACTCATCAGCTTAGACCTGAAGAGTGCATTTGACAACTTATGGTGGCCAGCGATCTTGCAGGCTCTAAGAAGTTCTGGCTGCCCAAGCAATATCTTTAATACTATAAATCATTATCTACAGGATCGAAGAATAATGATTATACATTCAGCGGGAATTATTGAAAAGTCACAGACGAGAGGATGCCCGCAGGGTTCCTGCGCAGGTCCTCAACTCTGGAATTTAACCTTCAATAAGCTACTCAATGCTTCCTGGCCTGCGCATACGAACATTTTTGCCTATGCCGATGACGCGGCCTTGGTTGTCAAGGGACATTCTCGTGAAGAATTGCAAAAGAACTGCAATGAGGCCTGTCAAATTTTCCAGCGAAATTGTGACGAACTGAAATTAGTCATAGCAGAAAATAAGTGTCAAATTTTACTGGTGCCTAAGAAGGGAGGCTCTTTGGCAAGGAGACCGCGTATTGTACTCAATGGTCAGAGGCTCAAAATTGTAAAAGAATTAAAATATCTTGGTGTTACCTTTGATGAAAAAACTTACGTGGATTCCTCATGTTCTCTCTATTAAAAAGCGTACCCTGGCCATCGCCAAACAACTAAGACAATTTTATGGATACAAGTGGGGTTTGAACCACCACATTCAAAAGATCTTATACACAACGGTTGTAGAAAAGTTAGTAACTTATGCTGCAGCAATTTGGGCTCTCCCTATGCAGAGGAGAAAAATCAAGCATCTCTCTACTATTCAGCGCCCTTTTGCCTTAGGCATAACTC